AAGAGGCCGCTTTTGGGTCGTTTCTGACTTTTTTTGCTCCTTGCTTCAATAACCCCTTTCTCCCATATATCACATGCTGCTGGGTTCCGGCCTGGGAATTCGTGGACCATTTTGTTTTCGAAATTCCAATGTTTGCCAAAGCCGACACACCGATTCACTTGCAGCCGATTTCTTCGAGTGAGTTAAGCTCGGTGCTGCGTATTTCAAAACATCTCTATTCCTCTTCGCCTGTGAAAGGAAGAAAGTCACTTCGTCCGATCAAACATTCAGAGCGCTCGGGCTTTTGTTCGACCGATGGAAGAAGGGTGAGGTCACGATCGGCCACACCCGAGAGCCAGGTGAAAATTGAAAGTCACGACATCCGCCATTCTTTCTGCAGACTGTCTTTCGCATGCAGAACCTGAGAGTCTCAGAGGTAGACTGCACTGGTACACATCTTTCCTTTGGGCGCCATAGCTCTAAACGTAGTCTCTGACTGGGTGAACCGCAAGACGCCTGTCTGAGGACGGATGGAAGTTTGGAGGGAAACACCGCTTGCGTGGCATGATGGTGAAGGCCACAGCTTTCTTTTCATCAAGCTTGACAGTCTCGCTGTTGAGATTGCATGAGCATTCCGAACTCCGAACACCCGATTTACGAACTTGCTTGGCATCTGGGCCGCCCTGTCAATATGCAGGAATGTATCCATGATGCTTGATTTTGGAAGATTGCTTGAGACTTGAAGATTCAGCCCTTTGCGTCTTATTTTCTTGAGTTGCCATTTGCCGTGTTTTCCCTTAAATTTTCCTGATTTTCCGTATTGTTTCGCCTCTTATTTTTCCTTGTTTGTCACATATTGTTTCTTCTTTGGCCCTTGAGCCCTTTATTTAACTTTATGTGTTTTTTTTCTCCTGATTTGCCTTTTTTTTTTTTGATTTGCCTCTTTTTTTTGAAACTGTCCTCAGTCCTTATTCGCCTCATAATTTCTCTTCTTCGCCTTCATTGCTTCTTGCTTGCCTTTACCTCTTATTTGTCCTTCTGCCTCTTGTTTTTCCTTAGTTGCCGTTTATTTTTCTTATTGCCTCTTACTTTGTTTGCTGTATTTGCCTTTTATCTTATTTGCTTTTATTTTCGCTTATTTGTCTTTTATTTTTCCTGCCTTTTATTTTATTTGCGCTTTATTTTTCCTTATTTGCTGTCTATTCCTGATTTGCCCTTCATTTTTCCTTATTTGCTTTTTTTGCCTTATTTGCCCTTCCATTTCTATTATTTTGCCTTTATTTTTCGTTCTTTGGCTCTTATTTTTTCTTATTTGACTTTTATTTTTCTTTCTTTATTATTGTTTTTTTTCGTTATTTGCCGTTTATTTTCTTTTATTTGCCCCTTATTTTCTTTTATTTGCCCCTTATTTTCCCTTTTTGCTTTATTTTTCTTTTATTTACCTTTTAGTTTTCCTTATTAGCCTTTTATTTTTCCTTGTCTCCACCAAAATTTTTCTTGTTTGTACTTCATTTTTCCATATTTTCCTTGTTATGTTGCCTGATTTGCACCATCTTTTTTTGTTGTTAGCTTCTTATGTTCCTTATTTGCATGTCATTTTTCTTTATTTGCCTTTTATTTTCCTTTATTTGCTTTTACTTTCCTTATTTGCCCTTTTTATTTTCATTATTTGCCTCTTATTTTTCCTTCTTCATCCTTTTTTATATACTTTATTTGTTTTTTATTTTTCCTTACATGCCTCTTATGTTTCCTTATTTGCCTCTTGTTTTTCCTTATTTGCCACTTATTTTTTGGTATTTGCTTTTTACTTCCCTTATTTGCCTTTTATTTTCCCATATGAAATTCAAAAGAAGATTAATCGCATGTAGCTGATACAGAAAGTGCTCAGTGGAAGGCAAGCATTGTTCCTGCGACACTATATAGTCTACATAGTAGTTGCTGATTCCGTACTCAGATTGTTAACTTACATGTGCCTATATATAAATGTGTATATATGTATATTTGCATAATATTTTCATTGAAAATCAATGCGGGTCAAATTGTTCGTTCTACATATGAGATAATCATTACGTGAGCATTCGGTATCAACTGGCCGTTTAAGCTAAAAAGGTAACTAAACAGGAATCGTGCAACTGCAATATGTGGTTTGCGGGCCAACAGGGTTCCCTCTCTGTTTGGATGTGGTTGGGGAGATTGGCAGTCACACGGACGATAGCTTTCTGTCCGCACAGTGGTGCACAGCGTCCATCGCGCCCAGTGAGCACGTCATGCACGATGGCACGCCAACAAGCTTTGTTATCAGAGCATCGGCAAATTGCTCTCTCATAGCTCAAGCGAGGTATATACACAGTTTCCGGAGTTTTCCACGTGTGTTCATTGTTTCAGTAGGGCATATTCCACGAGTTGCATATCATCATGATGCAGCCAACCAGAGGAACTTGTCTGGTCGCGGCATGTATTGGATCGGCAGGCAGTATGATGTGATGATACCATCACCAATTTTGCGATGGTGGTTCTGGTTTGCTGGTTGCTGGGTTTGCTGTCCAACATCTGTTCGGCTCGGCTCAAGTGTGATATGCAACAACCCTCAGCAAAAAACATAGGAGTGCACACACAAGGTCAGTAATTCCTTCAGGTTCTGCGATACGCAGAATATGGCAGAAAACAACCCAACAGTCAGCGCAACAGCCTTTGCTTAAGCCCCATTGCGTAGTGCGTGACATACATCCATTCAACCAAGCACTAGGGCAGATTTGGAGTGTGCCCCATGCCATGGAGCCAAAGGACTACATTAACAACATTCGGGCCAACAAGGCCCCAGCGTCTGCAAATTTGTTTTATTGCATTTGCAAAATGGCAGGGTACTCCAGACCAAGTTGGAGCAGATTTCGAGGCAAATCCCCAAATCCCCAGGTGTTATATACGTCTTTTGCTTGTCTGCTCACGTTTTCCGAACTCATGTCGCAGACTTATGCTGAGCTGTTGGCTTAAGCTTGTGTACATTTGCCGCTAGATTGATTGTCCGGGTTGTGAGAAGCATGGGCTTCTGGCAGATTGCGACCTCGACTCAGGCGATGGATTGGGGTAGTTCAGCTTTCAAGATTGCAAGCCCTACCCATCTCGAAGTGCGGAGTGTCGCCTCCTGAGTTCTACCTCTATGGCAAGCGCCACTTTACTAGCAGTGGTTGGGAGATGCACCAAGCGAGCTATGCCAAGCCGGACAGGGCTGAGATGATTTTGGGATTGTCCGTGCTGCTTCGAAGTGACCGTTGACCTTCTGGACTCGCTGGTAAAGGCTAGATTCGCCAGTCAGTCGATGTGCTTTAGCGACAAGGGAAAGCGCCGTTCCAAGAGTGTTGATTTCAGGACCTGCTGGAGTCTGCATTGAGTCTCGCCGGGCGAGTGTACATCGTGAGGCTTCTCTGCAAGTAGGCATGACATACGCGGTCTGGAGATGTTTCTGCGAGACTTGGGCATTGGCCTGCCAAGGACGGGTAGTAACTCCGGTATTGGCAAGGAGATCGCGCAATTTTTGGCAACCAAAGGCGCGCACACCTGATGCCACGAAGATTGCAACCAGTCCTGTGTCGAAGGTGCCACTGTCTACATGCTTTGCCGCAGTCAGCAGAGAGCAGAAAATGCACGAGCCGACATTGTCGCCAAAGCAGGAGGACAGGTATGCCATAGTGCAGCAAGCGTCATCACGGCTTTGCAGCGGAGAACCGAAGTGAGACGGGAGCCCGAAAGTCTTGAGGGGTTCGCGAGAACAGTGCATCAGCAATCCCAGAACAGCAATCCCAGAACATTTTGATAGGGATGGCACATAGCAGAATCGCACGATCAAATACTTCTATTCCGAAGATCAGAATAAACGGAAGCTCGGAAGCAAATTAATCCCACATACGATGCGCTCAATGCGGAAAATCCAGGACGAATGGGTGATATACGCAGACCGGGAGGCAGGGAGCAAGAGGGCAACTGGGAAATGCAGCAAGACACAACGACAAATGGCACAAGGGAGGCCAACAGGCATTTTGCGGAACCGAAAGCTTATGCCCTTGACATGTTCCTTTGTTGCCTTTTTCTCTTTGCCCCTTTGCTCGTTAATTAATCCCTCGTGGTGTACAGCCCCGAGTTGTGCCTTCCCCCTTCCCTACGCTGCCACCCACATGGGCACGCAGGGAGGAGCACTTCGGGAATCGGCAGGACGTCCCCAAAAAATTCGGATGTTTCCCGAAGTATGCCTGCTCATATTCCATAAACAAATGGGCCATTGTCACGAAACTGACAGAATAAATGAAGGAGAGAGGCATAAGCGCCAATGGTATCTTGTGGCAGAGACTTTCCTTTGAGAGTAACACATCGAGGGGAGCCAACGCCCCAAGCCAGATGCAGTAAAATCGCTGACCCAACGTTCGGTGTTGCAAGCGATACTCAATATGGATCCACGGGCAAGGGAGGTTTGGATGTGCTGGTTTCTTACAATATCAGTGCTTTAGCTGCTCGACCTTTCATTCAACATATCATGCAGCAGTCGATATACCATTGTGCTTCTGGTTGCTGCGAGTCTTGGTTTACGGGATGACCACCCGTCCAATGCTTTTTGAGGCTGGGGGTGGTGCCAGTTTCCGCTCTAGGGAAATAAGTTGTGCCACTTCCCTTTAGGTGTTTAGAAGCGTAGCCGTCTTGCTGTTCAAGTTATTGCCATCTTCATTCTCAAAGGTGCATAAACTTCGCCCTCGGCCTTGAGGTTGTTCAATCCTCTTTCTCCACTCCTCCCAGCGTTTTCGGCTTGCTCTGTGCGTTGCGGCAATAGGGTTTGCTGCATCCACAACAGTTGAAACCTTCCAGCCACTTCGCTTTCGGTGGGGGTTTGTGGTTTTCCACTGTTTGTGTTTTATGGCCTGCGGCTCGCCACTGTGCACTCCCAGTCCTTTTTTTTGGGATCTGAGGGTTGCTGCAGGGATCGCAATTTCGGAATCTTCGCGAAGCTTCCAAATTACCAGCAGCCTCCGAAGCCGGGCCTGCAGGCCTCTCGAGGCATGGGAACCCCTAGCGGCTAGCGCTTTTCAGCTCCGAGCATTTCCCTACAGGGCTTAAGCTTGGCTTCAGCGGCTTCAGTGTTCCAGGAGATGCCGAGGAGCGCGTCCACATCTTGTTGGCTGACTGCAGCTTGGAGGCGGCAGGAGTAGAGCTGGTGAGGTGCCTGTGCTGGTAGTGCCTTGAAGGAGTGGGGGTAGCAATCGGAACATGAGGGCAGGAGTAGTGCAGCATCATTGGCACAAGCGGTCGTTGTGATTTGCGTCCCGGTAGCAGTGCCCTGCATGGGTGCAGACCGAAGTTCGCCGGTGCTGGGACGATTTTTGCGAGCACAGCATTGCGAAAAGCTTGGACCTCAGCGACTAGTATAAGTCCGAAGTTGGGTCGCAGACATGATGGCAGAGCCAGATCAGTTCGAACCTTTTTCGTGCACCGAGGTGGCGATCCAACGCGTGTGCGGCTAGATGGGCTAGTCTGCAATGCAGGCAGTGCAGAACAGTCACTGCACCCAGTTGGTAAAGAAGCCGGTGACAGCTAGACATAGCTAGACCGCAAGGCAAAAAGGCTGCCGTCCAGGTTTTTCCAAGAGGAGTGGAGATCTCGAAACCAGCATAGCCGGCCTGAGCCAGCTTTAGCATCGAGACTCAGACAGTCCCCTTGATTGCCTGGCGTCGAACGCTGGAACTGTTGGCCGCCAGGTGCTTTGGCCAACACAAAGACGATGACAGCAGAAGGCATCGAGCTGACGTTTGCTTCACACCTCCTTTTCGGTCTGGGCCCCAATCTTATTCCGTTTTCATCCCTCTCTCTGGCTTCCTCTACGTGTACAATATGCCACAACCATGTTTGTGACCGCAATGCTGGATGCCGGTATGGTCATGATGTCCGTGACTTTGACGACAATGCGGAGGGTGTTGATGATAGCAGTAGTAGCAGTAGTAGTAGCAGTAGTAGCAGCAGTAGCAGAAATAGCAGTAGCAATAGCAGTAGTTGTGGTGGTGGTGGTAGTCGTGGTGGTAGTAGTAGTAGTAGTAGTAGTAGTAGGAGTAGAAGCACTTGGACGAGTACTACTGGTGATATCAATGGCTGCGCTTCGGACCTCGTGTTGGAGCCTTGAGCCTTGCTGGCTTTCCGAGCGCTCTCTTGTTTGGGATCATGTATGTTGTTGCATTGATATCATTCCATAAGCAGGACATGGACGATAAATGTCACCTTAACTACAGATCAGTTTAGTCATCATCGTCTTCTTCCTCTCGTACGGCCTGAGGGTAAACATGCAGCGAGAGTTTGTGCACGACAGCCAGTATCCCAGGCACATACCTGCTCGGCAGCCTTGCCATGCCAGTTTTGGAGGCCACGGAGGGCTCCCGCCTGGTCGGGATCTCAGGCTTGATTTCTTGGAGCATGTACAAATTCAGCGATTCGTTCATGCTGCCTCAATGCGAAGACCCTTATCTTCAGATTTCCTGCATCTCCGGATCCAGGCGTTCAAATTTTGAACAATTTGGGCTGAAGGCTTGTAAGGGGGCCTGAATTCCGTTAATTAGGGATTCAGCATGCTTGGTGTATTTGGCAGTGGCCAACACCGGGACCGGGACCGTTCTGCCTTCACTGAGATCGTTGTCAGCAGTGGTGGCATGTACAACACAGCGTTCCCCAAGTGGGAAGACGCTACCTCCACAGGCGCGAGAGTAGCTTTGCGAAGCACTCGAGTCAGAGATGTGTGACCAGTGACGTGCTAGCAGGAGCCGCGAAGTATGATGGACAGTGGCTTGGCGGCATTAAAAGGGCCCGAAACTCCATCTCAGCAGCATTTCGGCGAGATGTCGCATGTGTTTTTTTCTGAGATGGGCTAAGGTTTGCCTATGCATATGCCAAGCGCGGGCAGGTGCTTCTTTGTGAGCAATGGGCCGAGCTTCATCCCAAGGCCACCGAAAGTTGCTCGCAGCTGCTCAGCGAGGGCCCAGTGAAACCTTCAGGCCTGGAAGCTCCGCGCCAGGTGAAAGTGGTCAGTTGCCACCCTGGCTGGACATCTACTCCGGCTGTGGATGAAGCCTACGGCTCAAGCAGCAAATCTGAATTTGTAAGGAAGCCCGTCTATTGCTGGCGTGCCGGAGTTGCTTTTCAGGCAAATCTTACCTGGAGCCTATGCGCAATACATGGCAGGGTGCCGAAGGCATAATTTGGCGGCTTGGCCATTCTTCTCTCACACCATCAATCCTGATTTTGCCACCTGCAATCTGGCGTTCTGAAGGCTTTGTGTGACAGATGCGAGTGCCATAGAGCCCGGTGCCTTCTACCTGGACCGGGAGCCTCAGGTCAAGCACATGGGAGGCAGGAACTTCAGAAAAGCAGGGAAATTGATCGGGCGCATACAAGCCAATGCTCAAGTTCGCGAAACTGCACTGCTTCAGCCTTGCTTGCAGTCGGTGCGGGTCGTTGTTGAGCCACGCCGCATCAACAAATCTTGCAAGTAAAAGCTTCAAAGATCGGGCTTGAGAAACGACATTGAGCGATCGGAACTCCCAACCTCAGTTCCTTGTGTGGGAACAGGCGTTGACTGTCATGCTTGGCAAAAGTCAGCCATTCGATTTGTAAACATGACACGGTCTATTTCCCTGAAGCGAGGCTAGCAACACATATCGGGTAGACCCCTGCGCATGTCGTTCGAGGTGTTGGGACGTCTTGGGTGGGGTGGCATGGACGGCCAGCATTTCCATTTTCACTCGAGATTCGCTTCAGCCGGTACTCCCAGTTGCCCCGGATTGAGTTGGCCGTTCGTTTTGCATGAGCCTCATGCCTTCAGGACTTTGCGGAGAGCATGTTGAAAATGCGCCTCCCAGTCTATGCCAAACGACTCTGAGATCCCTTGCGAAGTGATTTTATTTTGTTTGGAGGATTTTCGATGACAAGATCCTTTGAGTTACGACACTATCCACACGGAAGAAATCGGTTTGCAAAAAATCTTGCCGTCTGGTTTGGTCAGTCGCAGGGTGACAGCGCAAAATCGCCGCTGTGACACGGACAAACCTACCTGCTGACTTTGGGCAGAGCATGTTGCGTTCGAGTGCTTGTGTCTCTTCATCCCGCTTTAATACTTGTATGAAAAAGCAGGAGCTTTCTTCACAGAGGGCACGATTACCAAGAACTCTCCTGGTGAGGTTGCCGACATGATGCGATTACTTGAGGCGCCCTTTAGGTATCACAGCGAGCTGTGCGAGCGCCTGCTGTGCGAGCGCCTGCACGAAGCAAGATGCAGGATTGGGCCAATGGCCGCAGGGACACGGAGCTGCGCGTGGCGTCTGCCCCACTGGCTGCGATGACCAGGCCGATCGAGACCTGTCGGCAGCCTGTGTCTCATGTTGTTGTCGGCTCTGCATGGTTCTGACTGGACCAAGGATCTGGAGCGCTTCATGGGAACATGGTACGTCCCGTCGAAGCAAATCATATCGTATCAATGAGAACAGAGAGTGGACGCTCGATCGTAGACAGCTCTGCACCGCATGCAAATGCATACGCAAAAGACCCTTTCTTGCATGGGCCTGAGGTCATTGCGAACATTCCGACATTCTTTGACAGAGGCACAACCCACAATGTAGAGAACTACACGCTGGATGACGGAGGACACATGTAGCCGTGGAGTTGCTTGACTTGGGCACGCTGGAGTTTTAAAGGAAGGGTGGTGCACGTCGACTTCACCTACAGAAAGGCCTACTGGCCTCTTCTCCGCTGCTGAGCTGCAAGCTGCAGTGCTTCGAAGGCTGGCTCTGGCAAACCAGGGCTCCTACAGCAGCGGGCCGAGGCCCAGTCGGGGCGGGCCGTTCTTCTTTTCATCATCTGTGCTTCTTTGGTGGTTTTGCCCTTGCAGGTTGTGAATGACGCATGCACGCAGTGGGCCATCTCACCCAAACTAGGCTCAGTGCTGAAGTTGCAAATCACGCACCCTTTCGCTGTGAGGGGGTGCCATTTGTGCCCAGGTGTTTTCCTTCCTTTGAGGATTGCGTATTTGGTAGCGGACTGTGCAGAGGATGGGGCTCGCTGCGGGCTCGCTGTAAGGATCTTCTGGCAGCTGATCTGTGAGTCAAGAGGATTACTCCACCACTATCATCGGAGTGCCCGACAAGTCTTACATCTGGATCATGGCAAGAACGCCGACCGTAGACCAGGCCCCTTCTGCTTGCAGTTTCTCTGCTCCAAAGGCCCGCCCCCCGAAAGCGCCCAGGCAACCTACGACGCTCTCTTGGCCAAAGCCAGATCTTTCGGTACCTAGGATGGCATGGGAGAACGAGTGTGCTCTGAAGTCTCAGCCCTGGGGCTCCAAAATCACCCGGAGCCTAGCCGAGGCTACGACACCTCAAGCATCCTCCGAGTCTCCCAGGAGTGAGATCTGAGCGGTCTTAGCGGTCTTAGAGCTTAGCGAAAGAGTGTTAATGCCTTCACCTGGCCTTTAACGACAGAGGCCGGGCTGACTTAAGCTGTTGTAGCGAGGGAGCACACAGAGAAGCTTCCACAGAAGCGCTTGAATTCGATTCGAGGTCCTCAGTTAAGCAACACAGCAGCGGTTGCTGCCAATTTTCTCTGGGTCGATTGCGCTTGGCAGCCTGACTCGGCTTTTCAATCTGCAGGGCACCGTTGCCGGAGTTACAAAACCGCCGCAGCGGTGTGAGGAGAGCTCGAATCGAACCACGAGAAAATGAACGGACTTTCGGGGGTTCTGGCATCGATCCACGCTAAGCTGCTGCTTGTGGTATTGTTAGGTGTCATGTCCCAGCACCACAGAGTTTGTTCAAGCTTAAAGGCCAAGTCCAGAAATTCCGTGACCCGACCATGACCAGGAAACAGAAAGCTTCTTGTACCTTGCACTGCATATATGTTGCCGCACTCAGGAGAAGATGCGCGCGCACACACACAGACACACCCACCTACACACAGAGGTTCCACTTCGCTGCTGCAAGAGTGTGGGCGCCATGGGCGAGATCGCATATTGCATGTGCTGAGCTGGGATATGCAAGTGTCCGACGAGCAGCGCACGCTGGGAATCGTGGTAGCGGTCATCATGCTCTGCCTTTCATGCACCTGCCTGGCGATTTGCGGTGCATGCCTGTGCGTCTGCGTACGAGGTGTGCCAGCCAAATACGTACCTCAGATCGAGGCGGTCCTCAAGGACCTCGAATCCCAAGGCTACTTGCCAAGGTTCTCGGATGATTCCGCCGAAGGCAGGCGGCAGGAAGGTCAGGACGCAAGCGGTCCGGAGATCGACGACCTGCCGAAGCTGGAGGAGATTGAGTGGGGGAAACATCAGGTTCCAGCAAAGCCTGGCAAAGTCCTTCCCTCGTCTCTAAGACTCTAGCAGCCTGCTAGCTGCAGCAGGAGTCTTGAGTCTTAACAAAATGAAAAAGTCAGCTGCGGTTCAGAGAGTCAGAGAGATCGCCAAAAAACGCGCAGCGATGCGGCGATGCGCAGCGCAGGCGTTGCTGGGCCTGGTGAAGAGCGGGGAGTCCAGGGCCCCGGGGGCCCTGGGGGCCCTGGCTCTGCTCTGGGCTCCTGGACTCTGCTGTCCTGGAACCTCTCTGAGGTTCAGAGACTTCGCCTTCTCTTCAGAGCTCTACTCGCGCACCTCACGGGTTTTTGCTTGCAGAGTTGGGCCATAGTCTGACGCGGGGGAGGGGGGGCGGGGTGGCTGAATTCCATTCCAGGGATCTTTTCAAGCTGCTGTCCTTGGCGTGTTCCTGGAGAACGCAGGAGCATCACAGCTGCAATACTCTATGCAGGCATAAGAACTCGTTCGGTACAGGCAAGACATAGGAAGACGTCATTCGGCTGATTGAGATTCATCCTCAGTGAAGAGAGTTGTTTCTTGGGCCCAGAACGAGTCAGATGACTAAGGTCACAACCTTATGTTGTGAAGGTGCAGCAGATCTTTTGGCACCGCTGCCATGTTCCGCTGCCACTTTCAAAGGGAAGAAAGGATTGATTGCTCACTGATATAAGTTGATACGCCATGACGGCTGCCGTGGCTAGTGCATGCAAGACGGGTTCTTTGACATGCCGAAGGTACCTGACTTGCAGTTGGCATGGCAGCAGTTGGCCTTGCAGGGGCTTCGTTCGAGCTCCAGAGTTCAACATCGCAGAAGCCGAAGAGCAGGCCAGGCTCCTCGAGTCAGCCTCGTAGGCCCGAGTTGCAGCCACGGGAGCACCTGACTCATTCCACCTGTCGGGCGTCGGCTTCCTCTCATTGCAAGGTGGGTCCTCAGCTGTGTTGGAGCCTGGCCTCACGCACCGATGGCAGTGCCCAACAGGCCAGCGCTGAATGACGGGGCTGAAAACTGCTTGGGTTCGATCACCCGCGCCTTCGCTAGTTCGGGAACGGGCGAGAAGGATTGGTTTTGTATGTTTTGTTTCGCATGATTCGACATTGCAAAGCACTTGCATAAGCAGGCCTGGTCTCTTCATGGGGTGCAGACGGGTTGCTGGTCCCCGGGACCCCACATTCTCCTGTGAAGTTTGAGGTCGTCTTGCGCTGCCAGGCGGAATGGCCCTTCATCCGGGACATTTTGCTATGGCTCTATGACAAGTTTCCAACAAGGACTTGGCATCGCACGGCGTCCATGCAGTGCATCGATGTGCATGGTGTCTTCGTGAAGTGAGCGTCCAGTGCAGGAGACCAGAGCTGCGCCGGGTCATTGGCAGGTGCGGTTCACAGTGATCACAGTTTTGGTTCCGCTCACTCGCGCGTACACGGCAGAGCTCTTCCGACCGAACCTGCAGCTGCGACCTTGTGCTCAAATGTCTTACCGGACGTTTGGCAGGTGAAGCACAGTGAGGCATTGCAGCTATGATTTTTGGCTTTTTAGGTTACACGACATGCGATGAACCTATGGCGATGACCGACATTGTAGGAGCAACCGAGAGGAGAAACCTGGACTCGTTTCAGTCGCTGATGTGGACGCAATGGCTTCTGCTGTCTTCAATTGCCAGTGGGACCAAGCCTCACATAATTTTCCATGTCCGCGCCTTAGGTTGAAGAAGGCACAAGGCCATGGCTGACAAGAGTCTGACATCGTAGCGTGGCAACAGGTCCTCGACGACTGGGGCTACCACGATATCGGCTTCCGGAACCCGGAGATGCGTACACCAACTTTGGACTCTTTTCATCACGAAGGTGGACAATGGTTCGAGCGCAGCGGTGTGGACTATCTAGTCGACCCTCGAATCGATGACGATATTTGTGTGTCAGGAATTACTCTCGACCAGTACTACGTGCTGCCGACATGCTCCCCCAGCCGAGCCACCTTCCTGACAGGGCGCCTTGCAGATACTTTCGTTGTGCTGGCTGTATCAAGGGCTGACAAGGAAATCTGTCCGGGTGTGCAGTAACGAGGCGACTTCCCATTCATCATGGTATCAACTCCAAGTTGAAGTTCGAGAAGATGGGGCCCCGCGGCAGCATCGTCTGCCTAGGCAGCACGGAAGTGCAGTCAGAGGATGACGGAGCATTGTCCCTGTAGGATGCATGCATTTCAGGGATTTCGGTGGAATTCCGTGAATCCGAATCGTGAAAGAGTTTTTCCATCCTTTAAGCCTCCAGCATACTGCAGCAGATTCTGCCCGACAGAGACCAGACCCTTATGATGCAGAGATAAGGCGTGGTCGAGTGCCAGCCGAAATATCCGCAAGCATGGCAGGTGGTGGTAGACGGAGGGTGGGCCCGGGCGCTAAGGCTGCCACTGGACGAGAAGCTGCTGCCTGCGCTCTTGAAGGAGCTGCTCTGGCACAGACTTTTTCACAATCCGAGAGTGCCTAAGCATCTCCAGGAGCAGGGCTACAAGACGCATGCAGTTGGGAAGTGGCATCTGGGCTTCTATCGTCCAGCAGCTGGGATGAGCACAGTAGATCCTTTTGTCATCTTAAGATTTCCCGCGGGCGGAGCATGGCGGTTCTGTGAGGCCTACACGCCGACCTTTCGAGGATGGGAGCGTCTCTGCATTCGGATCCTTCGAACTGCGTCTGCCTCCAGGCTTTGACAGCTTCTACGGGTACTACATGGGGTCGCAGGCCACGCTGTTGGCACATGCCAAGCCACGCAAGTATCTGTCGCAATTGTATTGCAGGGCTACTTCACTCACAAGCTTTACACCTACTACGATTTCCATCGCCAAGACAAGCCGAACTGTGGCAAGACGTGTTCGCGAGTGGACTGGAAGGCAGCTTCTCGACACAACGCTTCGCAGTAATTCCCTGGCGGCCTGCCTGCAAGTTTATGTTTCGTTTTGGATTCGTCTAAGGCTGGGATATACTCGACACGGCTCTTCACAGAGGAAGCAGTGCGGCTCATCCGCCGCAGCAAAGCTGCAATGAGTAACGCCAACAGGCCCTGATAGGCCCCCAGGCACAAGCAGTGCTTTGCGGCGGCTTTTGTGTGGCTAGCGTTCAAAGCGCTGTGCAAGCAGGTCACAGCGCGTACTATCCCGGCCAGCCACTTTTCCTGTACCAGGCCGGTGAGGAACTTGTCAGGGGCACAGCCTTGCTGCCGAAATTGCAAGTTTTGATTGGAAGGCATGGCAGAATGTCCATTATCCGGTTGAAGTGCCGCGACGGTTTCTCCCGCAATTCAGCAACCTGATCAGTAATACGACACGGCATCTCGGATCTTGAATCGGGGCGTCTGCTGGGTGCTGAGCAGACGTTGCACAGTTGCGACAGCGAACACTCGAAAAAAGGACTTGACAGGTCCAGGGTGCAATGGCCTAGCTACGTTTCGCTAGATTCTAGATTGATGTGTCACTTACCCTTGACATCCCTTGATGCATCGCTTCGGAAAGAGCTTTGATCTGAGGCAGGTCCATGCCGCCATGGTCGCCGCTGTTGACGAAGGCATTGCAAGCATCAATGTTTCTTGTCTGGTTCGCTTGTGCATTTGGTTTGTTACAGTCGACACTTGACACAGTGCAATCATTGATGTTGTCGTTCGGCCAAGGCGGCTTTGAGCAGCGCCGGTGCCTGGGTCGCAATTCACGTCAAGCCAAAGGGTTTTCTCATGACTCCAGTCCTTTATACTGAGAGCTCAACGTCTTGAAGATGCAAGCGACTGCAAGATTGCATGCAGCCCTCCCGCATCTTTGAGTGGTATCAGCAGCAACGGACGATGTGCTCTGGGTTGCTGATTTTGCGAGTTGGCTAACTGGTTGTGACAATGCAGAGCTCATCCGACATCCTCGGGGATACAGGCGCAGGAGAAGGAGCGCCCCCCCGAAAACCTGCTGTGCCAAGTAGTCATCTGCGGCATCATGCAGGTGGAGTAGATCGCTCAAAATGTGTATGAACCTGAAAGCCGAGCTGAAGTACATTGTATCTTTCCTGTGATTTCCCTAAGCTGCATTTTTTTTAATCTCTTGGATCGGAACGCTTATGCTCGTGTCGCAGTAGAATCGCTCTGCCACCGAGGCATGTTGGAAAACTCTATCATCATAGCTGCTCGGTTGCAAGCTAGCCCTCGACGTAGGTTGTAACCGCACCCTCCGACAGAGGTGACCGGGGACAATGGAGGAGCCATCGATGAGTGTCTGCCGAACGGAGCTTCGAACTACCCTCTCAGGCACCACGTCAATCTGGCTTTCATTCATGTCTCGATTAGCGATGCAACTAGAATCTTCTTTGCACATGGATGCACGTGGCATGTTGTCAGGCTCTTTACATGAAAATTTTGAGCATCAGGGTCTGGTGCCAAACAACGCGACAGAGTAGAAGCAAACAGAAACGTCGAAGCTGGAAAATCTTTGACCTGCCCTGGTCTGGCCAGCCCTACTGCAGGGGTGGCAAGTGCAGTGTCTGGGAGGGAGGTGCCCGCTCCACGGCACTGGTCTATGCACCGGGACGTGTTCCTCAAGGCCCTTCTTGAAACCTACAGAGTCTAGAGTTCTTCAAGGTTGCTGGATTTTGAGTTAGACTTGAGTGGCTTGATGTGCGCAGGCCGGTCATTGTCTTGGTAACACTATGCAGCAATGCTCACACGTCCTCAGTTGTTACTCGACAGCGACTATTGACTACTACTGCACGATGGCGAACCGGATGAGCAGCATCGTCTTGGAGTTGCGAACAGGAGACCCCACCGCTTCTGTGTCTTGATGAGGTCAATACGGACTCTGAAGCCCTGCAAGATGTGAACCAAGCAAGCGCATGTTGCAAACGACACAGACAGTGAAAGCTTCTGCGGGCACAATATACCACGCCACAGGGCGCTCAAGCCCACACCATACAGGCTCCATGCATGACTGTCCTGGCAGGGTCTTGATATCCCCTCCTTGACAGCCCCTGCTCTTAGAAAGCACCGCTTTGCCGCAGAAGCATGTTTGGATCCATTTTGTGAACCTTGCCCGCCACGCAGGCCTTATCTTCCCTGGCCTATTCCATGCCAGTGACTGGCTGCCCACCATCATGGAGGGCCTTCTTGAAGCCGAAGTCAAGGCCTTCCGATGTGAGCTCGATTTCTTGGCTCTGACACTCTCTATAGGCTCTGGACAGCTTGCCCATGCTTTCCCATGCAATGCGACCTGCGAGGGCACCAAGCCGTTGGACGGTCTCAATCTATGGCCCGCCCTGGCTCAGAACGCGTCGTCACCTAGGAGTGACATCTTCTACGGAATTGCTGATCCTTGACTGCACATCTCGTCAGGTTGGTTCAGTTGGGCTTTTTCCGCTTCTTGGATGCCAGCTGTCCACCCGTCTCTTGTTTTGGCCTTGAAGGATCACACCGTTGGATTCCATGGCCCAGCTCTGCGAACTGCTGACGGCTGGATGCCCGGCTGGAAATACAGCACCAGTTTTTGGGACCGTCAGCCGTCAGCTACCTTAAGCTACTGGGTTCAGAGTCATCGTTGTAGTGGCAAGGTCTTCGGTGCTGTTCCAGTCCACGGTCTTCGATTTCTTGCAGTAGGAAGCTTCAATGAATGGAGAGGGATGCCGCCAGGAAGCTACTGCTGAATGGCGGAGGTGGCAGTGGCCGATGGTCGAATGAGTCAAGGCGGCCATAATTATGACACCACAAGTAATCATAGTTCATAATAGCTCATAACACTAAAAACAGCTTGCCTCCGATCTTGCAAATCCACGCCCGCTCTCGGAGCACTCCAGTCAACATTCGTGCAGTTCTGGGATCTGCCATTTAAAGCAGCGACTGTTCTTGTTTGACTTCCTCATCCAAGTTCCATCTCGGATCAGGGCCCACACAACGTCGGATGGGGAGAGCTAGAAGCTGCTTTGGACAACAAAACCTCTACGAAGAATCAGCTACATGTAGCTCCATTACAAGCGTGGGGTGCTTGGCACTTCTCCGTCGGAGAAGAGCTACCATGGTCGTGCCCCAAGCACCCTGCCGAGGTCAAGTCGCGGTGAACGATGCGGGAACTTGTAATAGTGATCAAGGCAACCCAGGCCACCAAGAACGCCAATCACAGAAGACCCCAGCCAGTGTGCACACCATCCTCAAAAAGACTGCCCGCATGAAAAAGCCACAGAAGATATTCTCTTCGCCGACCCGCGAAGGCTGCTTGCGGCTGACAGGAGGACTTCGGAGAAGACTTTTGGTTGCAGGAATACCGGTGACAGCGCCGCCCTGTTTTGCGAGTGACCCAGGATCTACCCTCAGCTTTTCGACCTCAAGAAAGACCCCTCGGAGAGATTCGACTTGAGCCAAGAGCGACCTGCAGCTCGGCTCGGGGGTTCGGTGTCCGTGGGGTGTCCGTGCACGGCATAGCGCAACAGCGACCAGGATATTATGGGACGCCTCAGATACCTCCTCTTCCATTACGAGCGGTCGGGCAGACCCCAGGTGGGGTCAGCGCGGCATGAGGTCACGGCGCACGCCTCATTGTCGCCAGGTGCTCCCTGATCGGAGTTGCCGACCGTTCTCTGCACGACACTTGGACAAAATGACGACGGCTTTGCTCGGAAGTGCCGTCACTTCTTCCGGGAAAAGTGGACCTGCTGAGGAAAGAGCCCACGCGGTCCCTGGATTGGACCATGGTGCTGAAATGTCCTGAGAGTGGAGGCCGGCCGCTTTATGTTGGCGAGCCCAACAGCTGCACCACAGCGCCATTCAGAAGCAATGCAATTTTGGTGGTCCTCATGGGTTCAGGATGACAGAACTTTCGTGAAAATCGCCTCGCCGAAGTCAAGGCCGTGTCGGTGGTAAGTACCATTCAGATCAATGGTAAGTATCATTCAAAAGCCTTTCTGTTCGGAAGCTCCATGATGCTCCGACAGGTTCAGCGCTAGCATGGAGCTCTTGGCGGCCCTAGCAAGCCCAGCAGCTTCGAGCAGTCTGGCTTTGTGACAGTGGCTTCCCCGTGCGTGAGGCTAGTAGATTCCCGCTCGGTTAACAACGTGGCCGTCTCTTTTTGCCTGGCCAGCCTGCTGGTGGTGGAGCGGCATCGCGAACGCCGGCGGACTCTTCTGAGTTTTTTCCGCAGGTTCTCTGAAGTGTGAGAATCTTCGAACAGCTTCGAGCCAGCGGGGAAAAGGGCGTTGTGCACGCTGGCGCTGTTCCGGCAGCTGCCCCAAGCTCAGGCCACTCAAGGCGGCCGTACGCTTCGTCCACAAGTCCGCGCCCATCGCTCCGCTGCTGCAGGCGTCTTTTCAGAGCGGCCTGGGTCAGGGGCAGAGGGAAGCCTTCAGGTGCTTGGGCCGATCATCCGTGGCTTCCAGCAGCCTCTGGGAGAGGTCAGTTGTGCACACGACGAAAGGGTGTAGGGCCAGTGTCCAGCCTTGCTAAGGTGCAAAAGAAGCTCCTCTTCGACACGCTGATACCATTGCTCGATGCTTACGGAGAAAATCTCTGTTGGATCCTTGTGAGCAAAGAAGACACGAGGCACAAGCCGAACGAGTGGCTGCTGTGGGACAGACAGACTCCTATGATCTCGATGTATCACAAGGCCGTCTTGATGTCGACTTGTGCTATGAACCTCGATTCCTTCATTCTCTCCCTTGTAGGAGCTCGTCCACTGCATGCCCGGAAACTTGGAGCCAGGGAAGCTGAGTGGCGAACACCCACCCCCTGCACATCCGCCGAGGCTGCTCATGCTCGAGAGAGATCCCACACTGGCTGGAAAGTGCGTGGAGGACAGCTTGACATCGCGAGCCCTCTGAAGCTGAAACTACATAGACATGATGATGCAAGGCCGTCTGCTCTCACTTCCCTCCATCGCATGAGTTAGCCCCTGACATCCGAACGCATTCCAGTCTGGCTTCAGCTGCTTCGCAACGAAGCCTGCCGCTGTCAGAATTGTAGCGAGGTCCAACACTCCAAAGGAAGTCTTGCTCATCCACGAGATTGCAGAGATCTTGAAGGTACAGCATACAGTACCGCAACATCTGCGCTCCTGTCTCACTGTATGACCAGGTCCTTGATCCAGAGGATGCAGAGGTTTGTATGCCACGAGCCTGGTGAGTGGCAAGGGCACATTGCCACAGTATGCCACAGTGAAGAAGACAAAGACAGCTCTGAGGCCCCAGCTGCAAAGGCCGGCGGCTCGTGACGCCCATGCATCGGGGTGTGTGTGCTCTGGTAGAGAGGCACATCCTGCGATTGTTGACGTCGCAGAACGGCCAGACTCTGCAGTCAGTGCTGCAGTTGTGGAAGGAGCCCCTTCCAATCTGAAAGGGCCGAACGCCAAGCGTGTTTCCATTCGCCAGGACGAGCGCGTCTCGAAGCTGTTGGCCAACTTCGCGGATTCGCTGGTCCCACAGTGCACTGTTGTGTGAGGCGGGATGCCGTTCTCCGCTGCCGACGCCAGATACCGGGCATGCTGCCTCTTCTCGTGAGGGACGGCGAGGTCTTTTGGAATCCCACAGCTGGGAGCCCGTGGGGAGATTTTTTCACGTGAGTATGGAGAGCGATAGGCTGCCCCCGGCTACTGATCGGTCAGCTGCAGCAATCGGTCATTGATAGGTGCAGGGGGGGGGGGGACGNNCGCAGGGGGGGGGGGGGACGCGGCAACCTGCAAGCAGCAAGACCCGCGCGGCCCCCTTCCCGCCCCGCCCCCCAACGGTCCCTGCGTATGGTAATCCCCCCTTTCTGTTGCGTGGTTGAGGCCCCCCATTGGTTCTACAGATGGTCAGCCCTCCACCGTGCGGAACGGCTTGGGCGTCAGGCTGTTAGTTCCCCTCCCCCGACAGTTGTCCCAGTCGTCGTTTTCGGGAGGATGGGATCGTCACAGCGATGTGAAACACCATTGGTGTCCAGTGTCTCGTGACTCGCGGGCTCAGACGTGGCAACAGTACCTGGCGTGTAGTCACAGTCGTGATGTGGACACGGAAAGGACGAGATAGTCACGACTGCAGCTTATACATAAAGCTCAGTCTTCTGCGGCTTCCAGCTGGGCCGAGACACGTTGTGGACAACGCTACTGGATCTGATGGACCATGCAGCACATACTCAGCGAAACTTCAGAACCAAGAACTTGTCTGCTGTGCGGCCAGGCTTCAGTTCGCGAGCCGTGAGAGGGTCTAAGTCCGAGTCCTCGAGGTGAACAAAATGACCTGCCTGGTCTTGGAGAAGCTGGAAGCTGCCAGCCCAGAGGTCGCAGCTCTCCCCACTGCCGCTCTGTGCAAGCTTGTGCAACTGGAGAGAGCTGAACTGTTTCGGTTTTTTTTGACGAACGCCTCGCCCTTGCCAGCTCCGTGGGGCGAGAATACACATCATGGTGCAGCAGACCAGTACTAGCAGTAGGGACATGTCGCTGCGATTGGTGGTTTCATCCGCTGGTGAATGGAGAGACGGATGAGGAATTCTGCGACCAGATGTTGTTCTGTGGTTGAACTGCAACCGTAGTTGCTTTGCACGGCTCTGCTGAGAGCGGATTTTTGTGTGTGGTCGGCCATGGCTGCACAAAATGCGGAGATGGATCTTTGCTCGGATCTTGGCAGAGTGTCTTGCCAGATAGGCCGGCACGGTTTGCATACACCTCGGCCCGGTGTAGAAGAGTGCCAAGACATTTTGAGTCCTCCGCATTGCGATTGTGCAGCCGTCCAGGCTTTGGTGGTGTCAAGCTCACTGCTGGACAGACCTACAGCTGGGCAGGCCTTGTGAGCTTTCCACACTGATGCAGAATCGAAGCGTGCGATTGCTATGAAATCTCCAAGAGCATGGGACTATGCACGGTCTTCCTCAAGCCGGGGCCAGACGTGCTCAACACAAAGAAAGATTAAATGACTATTAATTATCGGGACTCAGCAGGAACTGTGCCGGACCGCTTGGCATTTCTTTCGATCACGCCTTTTGAAGGATGCGCCTCCACCACCCAAGGATGCCAGTGAGGAGCGCTTAAATCTTTCCAAGTCGCGGCATGGACATGAGACTTGCAATGTGTAAGGACGTCGCCTGCCGAAGCTCCGAGTTTGGCATCTCCTGGCTGTCACATGGCTCTAAAAAAGAGAGAGAAAGAAAGAGAGAGAGAGAGAGAGAGAGAGATGCCCACAGCCCCGGCGAAAGAAAGGGAGATGCGCAGGAGGGGTGGGGAAACCTCGCCTCAGGCCCGCAGAAGGCAAGAAAGCAAGCGAGAGAGCGAGAGCGAGAGAGAGGAAAAACGAGAAAAAGCAAAGCAAAGCAAGGAGAGAGAGGGAGAGAGCGAGAGAGAGAGAGACACCTCCTGGAGCGTTGGGGGAGGGGTTTTCTTCCCCCGTCCTCTACCGTGAAAGAATGATGCTGACCAGTGACCTAGGAGAGCTCCGACTGCACTCGACAGGGTTTTGTGTTAGTCAAGCTTGGTCCGATTGTTTTGAGTGCGTGTGCCTAATAATCGTGGTCGTGACACGGGAGCAGAGAGTCTGACAGCTGGGCAGGGGGCGAAACACCCCCGGAGCCCGCCCTGCCGTGCCCTGGCCTCTGTGAGGGATCAAGGCCAAGAGACAGTTGGGACCGTCGTTGATGTAGGGTTACTGTTCAAAAACATCGCTCCACACTTCTTTCTTCTCTGCTCCGATGTGGGCTGCGCACTCACGCTGCGGGCAGGGGGTAGAGCGAATGCCGCCAACTTGAGCTGAGCATGTGGCTGCAAGTCGGGGCTGTAAGCGGTCACTGAGGCTCGGGGAAAGAAAGAGAGAACGAAGAGGGAGACTCTGTCGCAGACGTGCTGCGTGTTGCCGCGATGGTATTGCAAGGCGTCAGACTCTTGCTTTGCAGGCGTGTGAAGAGAGACCTGCAGGCGGGGAAGCCTAGGCTCTGGAAGACATTCTTGCTTTCCTGCTCGACTGAGCCTACAGCTGGGCAACACATCAGGCCGTGTTCGAGCTCCCTGTCAGCGAGCCGGTCCACTTGGCTCACGTTTTGAGGAGCCTGTCTGTGTGTCTGTGCGCGTGTGCACGCGTTTAATCATGTGTGTTGGTGTGGGGATGCCCCGATGCGAAGAGTTTTTGTTTTGGCTCATCCGCAGGGGGGAATTGCTGGAAGGACGGGGCAGGTGCTAACGAAGACATCCATTCTGACATATTCTGACCTGTGATATAGGAGTGGGATGTCACTCCCACGTACCTGCGCAAGTTATTCAATGAGCCATCGATTGAGATTGCCATGTCGTGTTATCACGGAAGCTAGCGTAGCGAGGTGTTCGTTTCTATCTGCGTTAGCAGTGGGGCCTGGATGCCGGCCAGACCCCAAAATAACTGATATATCGAGCAAAACCCCCACCCCCCTCAGACTCTCACTCTGTTGCTGAGTTGTTGACGTGGTTGGATGTGTGCCGGCTTCGCCAGCTTTGTCTCCCCTCCGTTGCTGATGGTTGCGTTTGGATGTGATAATGCTCGGAGCCCGCCTCGTCAGCTCTGTTTGCCTTCCGTTGCTGATGTGGTTGGATGTGATGATGCTTGGAGCCCACTTCGCGGGCTCTGTTTCGCTTGCCGTCCCTCCAGCCTAGGCGAGCTTTCGTTCCCCTGGCCCTGCCCCTCAAGTTAAGTTCCATGAGCTTTCGGTGGAAATTGCGATCGCGACGTCATATGGTTCCATGAACCATCGATTAAAAATCAAACGCCATGTAATTCCGTGAACCGTCGATTGAGATTGCGAGTTCATGTTTCACTGATTCCCTGTCAGCTTGACTCCAACTCAAGTGTAAGTTTCTGGGCGTAGGTGTGGGGGGGGGAGTGGGTGGACGGGTGGGGGGGGTGGTGGTGGTGGTGGTGGTGGTGGGTGGATGTGGGGCGGAGATGGGTGGGTGTGGGTGTGTGTGTGTGGGGGG